TAAATAGGTTTCTTGTCATTCAAAACATTTGTTATTATTATAAACCAGTCATAATTATAATGTTAACTTTTTTTCGTCTTGTTTACATGCGACTGATATCCCTTTTTTATCTGGCTATTAATCGATTTAGATCTTTTTATAAAGCAAGCAAGATTTTGTATTTTAAACTAAAACTACATGCTTGTATTATACAAATCATTTCAATATCAGACAGCATTAACGATGGAGATTTGTTTTGTTAAATTGTATTCTCAATTCTTTGGATTTACTCTGTTACTTATTTCTTTCGTTATCATTCATCCATTATAGACTAATATCTAATTTTGTACATTTAGTTTCTTTAATTTGATTATATATAATTTTAGTTTCTTAATTTTTTTTCAAATAACTTCAATCTCTTTTTTAAAAAATTAAATTAATGATATTTTATTAATTCTCTTTATCTAAAACTATTAAATTTTTATTTATAATTTTTTCAAATTCAATTGTTTAAATTATTGTAAATATTCTACTACATGGAGGTCACAGCTGAAACATCAATTTTTTTTTAAAAAAAAATCTCAAAATTTCCCTTCAAATTGTAATTCTATATCTTACAAAATACTTTAAATTATACATTTTTTTGTTTGAAAATTTCAAACTAATTTATATCTTAATTTTATCATTAATTTCTAAATGTTTGAATACAAATAAAAAGTAAAGGGATATTAGATAAAAAAAAATTGATAAAATGACCGTATTAATTTAATTTTAAAAAAATTAGTTAATTGAATAAAAGAAATTAATTAGACTAAAATCTTTCAAACCTAAATACACACGCAAGAACCAAGAAACAAAGTAAGGAACTGACTTCTATGTAACCTTAATACACAGCCAGAAACTATACCCAGAAAATATAGAAAGTTCCAAAAGTAGGGGGGAAATTCAACTATGTTTGCAAAAGAAATAAAATTCAACCTCTACCACCTGTTATGTGTCTGTGGGTGTGCATAATAAACAAATTTAAAACACTTGAGTTATTAGTGCAGCAATCATGGTAGTTTAGACACGATTCTTGAACTGAATATTTTATTTAATTAAATCGATATCCATGCATCTCACGATCGGAATTATAATAAAATAATTAAATATTTAAATAAAGTAAAATTAATACCTCTATCTTTAAATTAAAGATTTAAATTTTATATTTGTTAATTATGGATTTTAAATTTAATATGACATTCGTGAATTGTTTTCATTAGAAAATGCCAATGACAAATTAAATTTTGAATTTTTGTAACAAGATGTGAAAAGTATATTTAGAAATTTTTAAATAATTTATTATGTAAAATATTTTACTTACAAATTATTGTGTTAAATTTACATTTCTGTTAATTTTATTCTAAAATTTGAAGATTAAACTTGTTACTTATTTTTCTTTTATTGCTTTTTATTAATTTTCATATGTTTTTAATTTAGAGTGTACTTTTAAGAGTCTTATATCTTAAACTCATGATTATTAATATATATTGTAATTTTTATTATTTAATTAAAAAATTACACTATACAATAAAATTATGATTTTTCAATAAATTATATTTTAAAATTATTTAATTTTATTAACATTTTATCATCTTAATCCATACTATTCATAATTATAAAATTAAGTTCAAATATTTTTAAAATAATTATTATTTAATATAATTTTATTATATATAAATAAGTATAAAATATAAAATTATGTTATTTAATTATTAAATTATATGTATATTTATACTGTCACCAATGACCATTGACTTATCAAAATCTCTCAACATAAAGATTAAATCATATTATTTTTATATTATTTTTACTTATTTTATTTTTTTCATTTTTATTTTTATTAAGATATTTTTTCCTCTTTTTTTTTTCCCCAAACATCACTTCATAAAATATTCTCAAAATGTCATTAAAAAATAGGCATCAATAGTGAGAGCCGCTGTATCTCCTTAGTAACTTTTGTTTTTTTGTTGTGGGAATTGAAACCCATGATCTTAGTTTTGGTAAATAAAATTTGAGAGAAAATTTTGGTTCAATTCACAAGTCAACTTATCACAGGTCACAAGAGTGTTTACGGAGACGTGCAGAAATTATTCAATTTGTATACTTTTATACATATTTTGATTATTTTTTTATTTTCTATCATTGCCTTTTTTCTCTCTCTTGTTGGAGAAGTTAAATTGCATTGTATATACTGGTGCTTGAAACTTCTAAACACACATACACGTAAGAAAACAAATGTATAATTCAAATTAACCGTAAATATATCTCTTGTGGATAACTTTAGTTTAAAAAAGTCAAATTCTATTCATAAGAGGGACAGAAAAAATAACAATTCTATTTTAACTCTGAAAGTGGGTATCTACATTAGACACTAAAATATTTGGGCGTTAAAATATTCTTTTAACTATTTTATATTATCTTTCTATTATATTACTATTATTTAAAAAAAATTATATATAAAATAATTTTTTAAAAATTGAACATCCAAATATATTGAGTGTCTAGTGTAGATACTCATTTCGAGTGTTAAAATAACATTTTTTCTGGAAAAAAAGAATAAGAAGTGAAAACTGAGGCTACAGCTTGAAGGGGTAGCAACCTTACCGAAGACAACGAAAAACACCTACAATTTTTTTTGAACTGGAAAGATATGTATAAAACAGGAGCAAAAGAAAACCTACATACATTAGCAGAATAAGAGTAGAAAACAAGCACATGCATAACAAAGCAAGCCTGTATACCAAAACTTTGACTCTAATTAAACATAGGTCGGTGCGTAGCCCTTCATTTTCATTCATTACATAGTTAGGGCATTTAAGATTATCCTTCCCTCCGCGAAAATGACATCAACATAACTAAAATCCCAAATGGATATATTCTGTCAAAATGAACAAGCTCAAACTAAACATGTATATCCAACATTCAGCTATCCTTGTTTATGATCATGAACATCAGTACATCTTTTCTATTTCCCTAAAATCAGCTCTGATTGAGCTATATATAGGGTTAACCGACATTCTTCCATATTGAATCAAGGACAAGTTGGTTTGTTGATCCTGTAAGCTGTCACAATTAAAGCCGTATGTAGAATAGAGACCAGATTCAAAACACAACAGAAAAGATATTTCTCTTGTAACAATATTAAAAATATACAACATCGGTTTGTACAAGAAGGCTTAGTATTTAAAATTACACAGGATTCCACCCACCTGGGCACATTGCTCAAGTGATTATGATGGTTATGGAATTTAGATAGATGGCAGAAGTTCAACTAGTGGTAAAAACTCTTTGACATATTAAAAAATAAATAAAAATACACAAGATATCAAAAGCTTAAAAAACTATAAAGTCCATCAGTTCATCAATTATAACACCATCATGCTTCCCAGAAATTAAGCTTACAATAGTATTAAATAGCCATGCTTCAATCAGAACATCAGTAATCTGCTGATCCAATTGTTTCATTTCTCTTGTGGAATAAACTTTCTTTTTTTTGCTCAGCAAACAAAAGATATACCTAATATAAAAAGGAGTAAAAAGGAAAAGCAAAACAGAAACTGTATAGAAAAGAAGTGAACTGCCATTGCAACAAGTTGTAAACATAGTAATAACATTTTGAGTGCATGAATACCTATGCCCTAAACATCCCATTTTGTTGTTGCACAAAAACTTGCAAATATAGTGACCAAAATAAGGAAGGCCGTAAGTTGGTTCGTCACTATTTCTGCTTGGAGAAGAGCCGTGAATCACTTAGTATACATAGATAAGCTTCAAAGAGTGCAAGACTAATTAAATCACCTAGTATAATGCCCATTTGCTCTCACCGTATTAAAACATCTTGTTGATCCAATGGATTGTAGCCATTTATCTGTGACCTCTGAAAAGAGATCAAGATCCTTCCCTTTGTATGAAACAAATTGCCAAGGAAATAACATGGTTTCTGTTAATCATTTATAATAATCAGAAAGCTACAGTTTCAAACATGAAGATTTAACAGCTCAAAGGAATCAGTCCTTGGCATTCTAACATGGGTACATAGTTAGTTATCCCTGTGTGCGAGTCACCCATAATTTTATTTTAAGATGAGAGTTAAAATTTTCAGTTGTTATGTGCCCTAACAAATTTCAGTGGTAGATATTCTTCCATATATGTTCTGTGTTTATGAAATTAACATATATGTTGCACACCAAACCCATATTTATAATATTTATGATTATCAAGTTTACTTCAAAAAACTCGAAAAGAAGACTTTAACTTGAAATCACTGAAAAATTAAAATTTCTGTTTGAAGCAAAACAACACCTAGTGAGATTCTTTGTATGATTGATCCCAGAGCTTTTGTAAAAAATGTGGTTGACTTCTATATTCATCCATGCTTGAATTCTTAGGGCTGAAATAGTGTAAATTTGCAAATCCCCAATATCGATCTATAAGCATAACTGCAAACAAAAGCTGAAATATTTTAGTTTTCTCCTGATCCTTGTAAACCCTTGCTCCAAAAGTACATCATTGCTTTTCATCATTGAAGTCTAACCAATCATATAAATAAAAATCTAAAAGCTTAAAAAGCTGCTAGCGAGTGGCTCCAGTACTTTTGATAATACTAGTTAAATCAAACTTTAAATATTGGACAGAAATAATACACGCAGGACACAGCAAACCTTTATGCGAACTTTGATATGCCATTGGCTGATTATCAGCAAGAATCAGTACAAACATTGTAAAATGGGAATATAGGGCAGAAAAAGTTACTGATAGAGAGAAGAACACAGAACTATTCGATGATTACAAGGCAAGCTAGCACCGGAGGATTTCATTCTGATCAGATATTACCGAAAACTAGCAAATTAGTGTCGACTCTGATTGATGCACTCCTCCCAAGAATTTCCAAAGACTCTACAAATCAGGACCCAAAAAATTTCTAAGCATCATTAAAAGTTCAAAATCTCAAGTAAAGATTTGAGAAGAATAATTACAACTTACCACTGGTTCATGAAACATGTGGATAGATTCATTGTGGCTATTCCACTAAAGTTTGAGCGTCCATTAACGGCCCCATTAGTATCCCAGTTGGAAGTGGAATAGGGTAATAGATGGAAGTCGTTACTGTTGAAACTTGCATCCCTAGGGATCACAACGTTTTGGTGATTAGAAGCCATCAATGATGATGACCTCATGTTTCTTTTAATCATAATAGATTCTTCAATGACGTTGAAGCCATCTATTGCTGCTTCACTGTCTATGAGATAAGGGTTATAAGGTTGAACCCATCTTGCACAAGCCTCGGGTTCAGGTTGAATAGATGACCTGAATTGGTGCAGCATTTGAGCATTTGTTGAAGTTACAGGGCACCTTTCATCAAACTCTTGCTGCACCCTTCCACTGCTACACATCTTGTAACAAGTCCTTTCTCTTGCTCTTGCTCTTGCCCTTTCTCTTGACTCCTTTTTGGTCTGAACACCAGCTTCATCCCTCTGTGTCCATTTCAACTTCCTCCCTTTAGAACCATGATCAGCACCACTCACCAATGATCTGTTGTTATTTGAATCCACAGAAGGGTCACAGGAATACTTGTCACCCCCACTACTACTGTAGCTATGCTTACTTCTAGCTAGCTCTTTGATTGCATTCTCTGACTTTGTGAAGAGCCACTCAAGGGTGTTACTTGGTTTGTCAAACTCTAACATGTCCTGAAGATCAAAGAACTTGCGGGCTATTTCACTAGAGAGTCTCACCCTACGGTCCCTTAACCCCTGAGACGTGTGAATCTTACTGTGCCTATCTTTCTTGGCTATGGCTGGTTTCTGGGTTAGAAAATTGGAAATGCTACCATAGTGGGAAGCATAGTTTGTGTTTGCATCATGTTCAAGCATGGCAGTGCAGTCAGCAACTGCCAAATTAGCAACAGTTTCTTCAGGAAATGGAGGATCATGTGTAGTGGGTATGTAGGGAACAACAAGTGGGTCATCAAGAAGGGTGCTACTTGCAAAATCATTTTCAGGATCAATGAGAAAAGGAAGGGTAGGGTAAGAAGAAGATGGAAAGGTAGGGAAAAGGTTGGAGTCATATGTGGATGAGAACATCTGCAGATTGGAACCAATTTCAGTGGGTGAAAACCCTAGCTATTGTGCAATGAATAAAAAGATCACAATTATAACACAGAGGTAGCTTCTCTGCTCCTACTTAACGGTCCAAGTACAGTCCTACTCTTATATAATCATTTTCTGAGATTCCCCCATCTCTATCTTTGAAAGTATACTAGCTACTAAGTACTAAGTACTACTATCATGGCCATTAAAGAGTTAATTTTTTAAAAAGAAAGAAAGAGAAGTGTGTGTTGTTTACGAAAGTGAGGACAACAAAAAGAGAGATTTACTTTTGGCCAATGAAGTACTTCGATCATAGCTTCATTTATTTTGTTAAAACAACTATATTATTGCCAATCTGGGTTGGGGCAGCAGAGGGAGAAAATATGGCTCAAGTATCACGACAGCACAACGATCTAAAGGACACAAATAATTTATGGGTTTGTGCCATATTCAAATAGCTTATTCAGGGCCATCCACTTCAATAAGAATGCTTAACTAAAATTAAGTGACATGCATTAGCACAAGTTTAAACACAAATTCAATACTACATAAAGGATAGTGTATAGATTTAAAAAATAAAATAAAATGTGCTAACTTGGGTATAGTTTGATTTGCTTTTGAATTACAGTGGCTATTTTAGCTCTTAATGAAATGAGTTACCAGAAATTAAGTATAGTTATACAATTGAAAAAGTGAATAGCCCTAACCTTATGGATCTTATGTTGACGGTTTTTATCCGAAAGGTAATGATCTTTGAAGTTGAAGCCGTACAGGGAGTGTAAAAGGTAGGTGAGAGGCTGTAATAGCTGCTTACCTGTTTCTTCTGTATAAACTCAACGCAAATATACAAATTCCTCAGAAGAAAAAATAATTATCATAAAAGTTACATTTTCAATTTTCTGAAAAGCTGAAAATAGTACAAATTGGTAACTACAAACTTCGTGTTCTTTTTGAATGCGCCCACATAGCTTCATTTCAATCCCGAAAAAAGCTCATTCATCTCTGACAGCGATTGCAGCTTCCCTCGGATACATGCTTTCTCTATGTATAGTATACAGTATATGAATACGCAAGTGCTTAAAAAACAGTGTGATATCAGTTATTTAGATATTATAATATATAAGTATCACTTTCATTAAATTTTTAACAATTGATTTAAGCTAGACTTTTGAATGAATATAGTAATCTTGTATACTTTTTTAAATTTTAATATGAAAATTAAATAACGTACATAAAAAATAACATTATTTTACCACAAAGAGGTAGTACTATGAATTGATATTGTAATCTAATTTGTCATATTAATAGTATGTTTGGATTACATTAATTTATCGAAAGAAAAATAGTTAGCAACACTTATACTCTTCAGCATACTCTATATAATTAGTTCTCTTTAAAAGTAATTAAAACACTTATCTCATAAATTAATCTTTTAAAATTTACTTGGACATTTTTAATATTTAACTAATTATAAAAGTATATTTAAGTACGTTAAGAAAAGTGTATTTTATTCAAAATTTACATTTAGTGAGGTGCTAATAAGAATAGCTTTTACATTATAAACTCATGTACATAAGATTTTATTTGCATCTAGACAAGTACTAGGAATACAGACTAAAAGTAATTTTAACCCTACATTATGTATAGTTATTCTACTGAGAATATACAATTATTATGAAGTATGTTACATTTGGATTCTTAGATATTTTATGAATGGTTGGGGGAGGTCTTCCATAAACCAGGCATTGTCATTCAATTTTTTTGGGCCAAACATACGAACATGTGAAATTGCTGTATTGCATGAGGGCAAAGCCTATAACATTATTAGTGACTTGTATGTTTGGTTGATTGAAAATGAGAACACAAAAAAGAATGGTAGTCATGCTCTCTTGTTTTCCTTCCCTTTGATATTCGTCCTAAACCTAATTAAGTGTGTATTTGCCTTAGCATTATAAAAGAAATAGCAAGTATGATTATTAAATGGAAACAAATAAAATCTGTAAATATAAAATTAAAAAATTAAAAACTACACAAATAGAAAAAAATAACAACTAAAAAATGAATATAAAATTAAAATGACGAATATCATATAGTAAAAGAAAGAAATCTAATATATTACCTAGACTTAAAAATCTAATCTAATTCAATAATGTATAAGTAGATAGATAGGGAAAATACTTTTAAGATTAAAACAATTTAAACATTATAAAAATTATTTTTATGAAGTTATTTATAAACCTAAACGTAATATATATTTTTTAAACTGATTTTGTAATGTTCGTTGTAAAAAAAAAGACATAATGAGCGCTAATCAACATTCATCAGTTTTTTAACAATAATTTTAGGATATTTGTTTGTTGTTTTGATGATTTCGAAGTAATTCAAACAAAACTATTTCTCCTATAGAAGAGAGAGAGAGAGAGAGAGAGAGAAAGAAAAACCACACAGCTAAACCGTACAAGAGTTTACTATGAAGCAATTATACTGGGACCACTTTGCGTGGAATTTTTACAGAATCTAAGTTAGATATAATGGCTGCTTAATAAAAGATTGTGCGATGTGAAAAATATCACTTGTTTTAGATTTTGCTAAGTTATCTAAAAAGGGAACGAATGGACCATGCTGGGTGATAGAAACCCCACAATAAGAGATATGCACTCTACAGTCTCATAGTGGACCGGCTAGTTAGTGTAGCAATAATTGCATTGATAGCTATGCAACAGTTGGCATCCAATCCATCAACCAAGAAACTAAATGGTTTGATCTTTGACATCGATCGAGTGTTTGTTACACCATTTTCTTTTATTTCCTTTACACAAATCTACTCAAACAAAATATTAACATTAATATTTATGATCATTGAGCATGTCCAATTAGCAGAGTTGTTGGAGTTTAATTTACTATTTTAATTTCGATTTTCAAAGAATGAAGTTGTGTTGAAAACTCAGACGAATTTAGATCAAAATGAAATTAATATTCGAGTTAATGTTTTTTATGTGTATTTCAAAATTTACTTATAATAATTTTAAAAAAGAAATAATATAATTACAAATATAATATATTCATAATATTATATATTATAATTTATAATGAAAAATATTTTTATTTTTTACCTGAATGTATATTAAAAATGTTGATGGAAGCCGAATTTGGAAAGTGATTCTTGATTTTTAACGCATCGGATTTTCAATGCGACTCTAAAAATATATAAGAAAAATTAATAAATAATATTTCAGGTATAAACGATATAAATTTTAGTATTATTTGTTCAATAATGCGATATCATTAAAATTAAAAAAAAAAAATCATTCAATTTGATTGGTAAGATGAATATAACCAAAACCTTAAAAGTAATAATTAAATCATTTTAAAAAATAGCTCTTAGATATTTGAATTCTTAATTTCTTAGATAAAACTTATTTAGGGTTTTATTTTATTTAACTGTTGTGATATTGCACCGAAAGGTATATTTAAAACAACCGACAATTATAGGAAAAGTCCATATATAATAATTTTATAAATAATTTTTAAAATTTACTTTTAAATAAATATATTTTTAATTAATAACTTAATATTTTAATAATCATCTGCTAATATATCATTACACTTAATTTTATTAAAATATTAAATTATTTATTAAATTAAGTAAAAAATTATAATGAGTTATCTTTTTAAAATTATAATGTCAAAAAATATATTATTGAATAGTGGAATGTATTTTTATTTCTTGAAAGATGCTTAAATTCAATTTCCTTCCGCATTTTCTTTTAAAAATTACCTTCTCTTTTCTTGAAATATAATATGTTACTATAAGTTATTCAATTTTAATATTAACAAATTTTTTAAAGAATTTTCTTTATTGGGATTCTCAACATCATTGCAATAGCTTTGAAACATTTTAAAGCATTTTGGTAATTTTATATTACTTTGATACTTTGGTCCTAATTTGAGCTACAGGTCTCTATATTTTGTGCTGTTTCGATGTTGGGAAAGTTGAGAGACGAAGTATTTTTTGTAAAATGAAGCATAGGATAAATTAAACGTTTTAGTGCAAAATTTATTATTAAAGTTAGATCAAAATTGTTGCATGCAGATTCATCATGACAAATTGTTAATATATTGGGATTAACTCACTTAAAGTAAGCCCTAATTTTGGTATAACACACTGTAGTTATCTTAGTTCTTCACTCTTGTACAAGGGTTGAAGTACCCCTTTACTTCTTTTAATTATATTCTTTGACTTATAAAAAAACTCCCTTAAAGTAAGCCCTAATTTGATAAATGAGACGTCTTTAGATAGTAAATTTGACTTGGAACCATTAATTTGTTAAGTTTTGAACATCTGGATAAAGAGCCAAACAGCAGCAGTTCCTTTGGAAAACGGCTAATGCAGCTATCCTTTAAAAAAGAAAAACTTAGAGCCTTTATTGAATTTTAACGAGAAACAACTAATAAGCATAACGAATGTTAGCAATTCTGCATATATTAATAGCAATAATTAAAAAAAATTGTTATTAATTATTGATTAACTCCTTAATTACAAAAAGGCCCACTTAATATATACTATATATTACACGTGAAGTTCACTTGATGCCATTCACCCACCTGTCTCTTCAATTTTTTTGGCTAAATTATCCGATTCTGTTACCTTTTCAAAATGACTGCTATTATACCTCTTGGCTTACTCCTCCATTCGTACACTTTCACTAGCCATAGTCGAAACTTGAATGTGTCCCACCAACTATTAGTCTATCTACTGTTTGTCTGCATGTATGTTTCTGGTGGCATGCTGCTTGTGGCCTTTATACATTAAGAGAATTGGTGGAAAGCAAATATCTAGAACTGTTGATCATATGCACAATTTGATATGATCAACAATAATATTATTGTGAGCAAGGTTAACCCTGGTAGGCAAGACATTTAGCTTCAAGGTGAAAGTAAATTATATTTTACCTATATTCAACATTGTATACACACCCCCAATTACTTGATATGAATGTTCAAGGAGCATGTGAGTGTGATATACCTGAGGTCAGTGCCGTTTTAGGTTTTTATTGAATGTCTCCTTTCATGTAAAGAATACAATTAAGTTTTTAATCCTACCTTATTTTCTTGCCATTTTTTACTGGAACTTTTTTTTGCCATTTCAACCCTGTCACTCAACTTAATATTTGGATAACAATATAACGCACCCCAAGATACTTTTTTGTTGACTACTGCAATCGATTCCTTTCCTGTAAAGCAGTTCTACGCATGTTACATTCAACTTGTTATTAGTTGTGTTCAACGATAAAGCATAAACTCGTCTAATCTTCCATTTAGTTACAATAAAATGAGGATATGTTCATATCTATTTACCTTTCGCTCACTATTTCGCGGCAGCATAATAATATATCCAGTATATTACTATTAATAGAATATTAAATTAATGTTATTTTAATATTCTAATTAAATTTAATTTAATTCTACACTTAATGCTATTTTTTATTAAAAATTTTAAATGAAAAATATATTTTAATCTTTACATAAAAAGTTTAAGAAATAATTTGTTTCTTTTTTCATTGTCACAAACGTATAACTAATTTTTTCTAAACGATTACATCCAGAGGTTAACTTTTAACGTAGTCCAAAAACTTAGTTTAAGTGGAAAAATGCAAACCACTCATAAATCACATTGAAATATCATAAGCAGAGTGGGTCATTTTGTCCCTGAAATATAATAATGGAAGCGACACCTTCTTTGGGTGAGAAGCTATTTACAAACACACAGAAAATGGCGTCATAAACGATGGAAAAGCGTTATTTGTATTGTTAGAATAAAATGCTTTTTGGTGTTTTTTTTTTTACATTTGAAATATAAGAAAATTAAAATGTATTTAATGAAAAAATTATTATGATAAAAATATATAAAAAGCTAGTTTTACTTTCTTTTCAGCGTAATTAAGAACATTTATTAAATCATATTAAATGTTCTTAATTGACGTTCTTCACTCGACATTAATAGATGGCATACTTTATACTAATATTAAAATTGTCTAAAATTTTAAGTGCATAGTTATTAAGATAATGTTACATAGTTAAACTACTAAAATTTACAACATAATTTATTTTTGAAATAACTGAATCCTCACCACACACATAAGAAAAGCATATTGATTCAAAATTTCGGGTTAAATCGACTTAAAAAGTGCTAAACTACTACCACTATTACTTATTACTATTATTATTATATGCACACACACAATATAAAATAAATAATTTGAATATTATATTTTTTTTAAAATAATTAATTAATAATTTTGAATGTAGATATTTTATTTTTAGAGTCAACTATCTGACTTACTTTTGGTTGGGATAGTTTAGATAATGTTACAAATAAAAAATTAATTAAATTTGATATTTCACATAAGTTAACTCATTTCCATACTCGTACAATACCTCTTATAGCAGATATCGGATTCTTATTTTTATCTTCGAAAACACTATTGAATTTCCAAAGCAAACAAATTTATGGCCAACTAGCAAAATATAAGCAATTCATGTAACAGACTTTTTCATAGAATTTTACATTAGTAATTAATGTAATAATTTTGACATTAAATATTGTTGAAAGTAACACGAGTAGAGCTCAAATTTGATTGGATTTATATGAAAAAATTAACAAAATATGATGTTCTGAACAGAATTATGAAAATATGAAAATTTTTAAAAAAATTGTTAATAACATTTTTTTGGTAATTTGTTTTTTTTAAATTATCACTGACCAATTTTTTATTTTTTAAAATATCATTATGAAATTTTTTTAACTCTTTATAATTTTTTTAATTATTATTGATAATTATTAAAATTTTATAACTTTTTATTATTTTACCAGTACTTACATTGAAAATTGTCATTAATAATTTTGAAATGATTTTTAAATTTTAAATTGTTATAATTTTTTTAAAATACTGTATTTTAATATATATAATTTCTAGATCGCATGTATAAAAATTAGTTCCCGTTCCGACATATAATTTTGTACTAAAATATAGGATTTGACACTTCTAACGTTTTTGAAGTAATTAAAATGCAGAAAATAAACATCCATGATGAAAGCAACATAATGCAAAACCATAAAGCATTGAACAAATTAATCACTAAGTTGCCAAGCTAACATGTTGACAAAGACAAAAGCATCATTCCAACAGGAAAAGTAAAAATAAAAAATTCAATTATTTTATGTCGTATTATATTTTTAAATAAGAATATAAAGGCTCCATACTAGAAGTTAAGTGCAATAGAATCCGTTTTCGAAAAAAAAACAAACACTCAACGCCTAAAATAAATATTTTACATATAATTATATATTATATAAACAATGTGTTTTCTTCATAAATTAATTAAAAATATTTATTTATTTATATTTCCAAAATATACGTGATGTTTTTATTTTTAAAACCTTCAGTTTAATCTTTTAAATTATTATCCATATTTTATATTTTGTAATTTTAATCTGCTATTTAATTTAAGTTAATCATGTATATATTTTAATTTTTTATTTAATTTAAATTACTTTTTCACTCTTTTAATATTTTTCGTATCATCAATTAAAATAGAAATATATGAAAATTAAATTAAAATAATGATCTTTTTTTGAAATAATTAATAATTTGTAATAAATTATTTTAAAATACAAATTCCCTTTTACACATTTTTAAATAAGAATATAATCTTATGAGCTAGAGCAGGTTAATTTGTTAATGTTCTCTCTCTTTAAGAATGTTATAATTTTTTTTATTTTTTTATTTTTTGTAAATTAATTTTTTATATTTTAATGTCATATGATTAATAAAATATATTTTTTTAACACGTACTTATGCATATACACTAAAAATATTTGTTTATACTATTTAATTATTTAACATCTCAATTTTTATATCTATCTCATATTTTCTTTCTTCTTTTATGTCATACCACTTTATATTTGTCGTTTTCTCTATTTGTTTTTATCTCTTATTTTATACTTCCAACATACTAAAGGGTGCTAAACGATCATTATTACTTGATTAATTATGCATGTATTTATTTAGAATATTTATTATCATTTATATTTTAATAATTTATTTTTAGAATAATTCTTTACTTTTTTAATAAAATTAATAAAAAAATAAAAAAAAAATTATAAATAAAAATAACAATAAATAAGAGTGTGTGATTTGATTTTTCTAAAATATAAAAATATGTAAAAGATAAAAAATATCTCAAAATAAAATCAATTATATTTTAAAAATATCTAAATTCCAATTAATAAGAAATACTCGTTTATTTTGCACATCTTTTCACCCTAAACAAATAACTAAATAAATGACAATAGTCAAGCATGATAATCAGTCATTATCCTTATATCGTACAATTATATTATTGTATGAAGTGCATGTGTTAGTGTTTTGAACTCCAATTGCAACATATTAGCTAGTTTGGTGATAATGGTCCGTACTGATCAATTATCTAGTCCGGAGAACCACATATCTCTCGGTTCTCTTCAATTCAACCTTGAACAAGAGAAAACCAACCATGAATGGCCTAGGAAATAAAAGAGAAACAAAAGAAAAGATTTATTTCCAAAACGATGTCCAAAATCATCGAAATAGAAATAGAAAAACCTCACGTCCGGTTCACTTCTCTTATCCAAATATCCCTTAGGCACTAGCTGATCAAGATCGCCGCGTCCCTAAAAGAAATGGACCCCAAATGCCATGCACATTAACACGTTATCACCTAAGGTGTCGTCTATGCAGCCCAAATCTCACCAACTCTACTCTCAAGCCCACACCATTGTTCTCTATGGGACCCAACCTCAGACCCTTATTTTCTTCCCGCCACATCAACTTTATTCATCTCAACACTCGTCAATCTGCATGCCACCCCGTGGCCAAATGTCCATGCATCTTAATGGGGCTCTTCTCATCTCTATAACTATAAATACTCCTAACCTCACCTCATCTTCTCATAATCCAGAGGAAGTGCAATAATTTAAGAGACAGAATATCCACTATGATGAAAGCTCGTTTTCCACTGTTGCTGTTGCTGGGAATTGTTTTCCTAGCATCAGTTTCTGTCTCATTTGGCTTTGCCTACTGGGAAAATGAGAGTCCCAGTTACCATAAGTGCCTTCAGAGTTGCAAGAGAGAGCAAGATGCACACAGGCAACAAGCATGCCTTGCTCGTTGCAAGATCTTTAAGGATCCTGAGAGCAAAGAGCCCCAAGAAGAAGAAGAACCTCCATCACATGAAGAGAAGGAACATGGAGAATCACAGAGACAAAGGGGACGCCAGGAGGGTGAGAAGGAGGAAAAGGAACAACAAGAGCAAGATCAACCACACCCACGTCCACGACCACGTCCACGTCCACGTCCACGACCACGTCAACCTCATCCTCCCCAGGAAACGGAGCATGAGCAAAAAGAACAGCACCAACATCATCAAAAGGAAGAAGAGCATGATCAACCATGGCCTCGCCCACTTCCACGACCACAGCATTCTCAGGAAAAGGAGCACGAGCACAGAGAACAGCACCAACATCATCAAAAGGAAGAAGAGCATGATCAACCATGGCCTCACCCACGTCCACAACCACAACATCCCCAGGAAAAGGAGCACGAGGAAGAGCACCAACATCATCAAAAGGAAGAAGAGCATGATCAACCATGGCCTCACCCACGTCCACAACCACAACATCCCCAGGAAAAAGAGCACGAGGAAGAGCACCAACATCATCAAAAGGAAGAAGCGCACAAACAAGAAGAGCATGATCAACCATGGCCTCGCCCACGACCACGACATCCTCCTCAGGAAAAGGAGCACGAGGAAGAGCACCAACATCATCAAAAGGAACAAGAGCATGAAAAAGAACCACGACCACACCATCCTCAGGAAAAGGAAGAGCACCAACATCATCAAAAGGAAGAAGAGCATGAACAAGAAGAGCATGATCAACCATGGCCTCGCCCACGTCCATCACCACACCATCCTCAGGAAAAGGAGCACGAGGAAGAGCACCAACATCATCACAAGGAGGAGCACGAGGAAGAGCACCAACATCATCACAAGGAGGAAGAGAGTGAAGAAGGGCAAAGTTCAGAATCAAAGTCACAGAAACAAAAGAATCCTTTTCACTTTAGGTCCAACAGGTTCCGCACACTCGTCAACAACGAACACGGTTATATTCGTGTCCTCCAGAGGTTCGACCAACGCTCCAACAAACTCCACAACCTCCGAAACTACAGGATCATTGAGTATAAGTCCAAACCCAGCACCCTTGTTCTCCCACACCACTCTGATGCTGATTTCCTCCTAGTTGTCGCTGAAGGTAATTTGCTAATAATTAATTAATCACCACTTGTTTGTATTAATTAATTAATTACCCAAGGGTGATTCATGGCACTCACTTTGTTAATTATATTGGGACTAATAAATTGCAGGGAGTGCCATACTTACCTTTTTGGGCCCTCAGGAGAGTAAAACTTACATCCTTGAGCGTGGCGATGCACTGAGAATCCCTGCGGGGACCACATTCTATATGCTTAACCGAGACAATAATCAGAACCTCAGAGTAATAAAACTCGCCATACCCGTTAACAAACCCGGCAAATTCACGGTACTACTTAAATTCTTGTAACATTTTGATTTAGATTGTTTATTCTTACAATTTGTCTCAATTCCATCTGTGAAATAAAACTAATCTCTATCTTTTCTTTATTCTATAGAACTTCTATCCATCTAACAGTGAAGACGACGAATCCTTCTTCCGCGGGTTCAGCGAGAATATTCTTGAGGCCTCCTTCGATGTAAGCAAGCAACACACCAATATCTAATTTCTCTTAATTACAGTGTAATTGATGTTGTTACACTAAATATAACAATCAATTTGTGTGATTGTTTTATTGTTACATTAAATATATAGACACCATTCGAGAAGATAAAGAAGATTCTATTGGAAGATGAGAAACAAGAAGAGGGAGCGATAGTCGAAGTGTCAAAGGAACAGGTCCGGGAGCTAAGCAAGCATGCCAAATCCAGCTCAAGAAAAACCATTTCCTCTGAAGATGAACCATTCAACTTGAGAACCCGAGGCCCAATCTATTCCAACAAGTTTGGCAAGTTCTTTGAGATCCCCCCACACAAAAATCCACAGCTTCAGGAATTGGATATCTTCCTCAGCTGTGTAGAGATTGAGGAGGTATGTATGCAAAACACCAACAAACAAACTAAGCTATGCCATTATTCACTTCTATTAATTATTTGCTTGCTTGATTCTTTGCTAATGAGACTTATAAATACCTTTTTTCTTAATTTAGGGAGGTCTTCTTCTGCCACACTACAATTCAAAGGCCATAGTGGTACTAGTGGTTAACAAGGGAAAAGCAAAACTTGAACTTGTGGGTCTAGAAGAGCAACAGCAAAAGCAAGAGCAAGAGCAGGAAGAGGAGGAGGAACAAGAAGGAACTAGAAAAGTGCAGAGTTACAGAGCCAAGTTGTCTGAAGGCGATATATTCGTAATTCCAGCATCTCACCCAGTTGCCATCAACGCTTCAACAGATTTTCATATAGTTGCTTTTGGTATCAATGCTGAGAACAACCAAAGGAACTTCCTCGCAGGTATATACTGAATACTACTTTTGTGTTATTATGGCATGTGAAATGAAGAACATTGCTGATTGAGTTATTTCCTTGGTGATTGAAAATGTGAAGGTGAGAAAGACAATGTGATAAGGCAGATACATAAGCAAGTGATGGTGCTTGCGTTCCCTGGGTCTGGTCAACAACTTGAGAAACTATTAAAGAAGCAGAGCGAATCCTACTTTGTGGATGCTCAACCTCAGCAAAGTGAGGAGGGGAAAAAGAGCAGAAAGGATCGCCTATCTTCAATTTTGAACGCTTTTTACTGAATAAATATGTAACTCATGTATGTATGCTACCTAAGAGCTTGTAGTGAGCGATGAAAATATGAGGATTCGCAACTACAACTAGAGCTCTACCTTTTTCCTATGAATAAATAAATCAAGCAATCTGGTTTTGGTTTTTCTCTACTGCAACTGTCTGCTTAGCCAATTGGATTTGGTTATAGGCTTATAGCACGCATCTGTTAGTTCAGGTGGCGATTTTACATGGAATCTAATCTCATTTTTAGAAAATCTATGATATAGAGTTGACATTTTTTAGAAAATGATTTTAAGATTGTCTGAGAAGATGTATTTAAATTAAAGTCATACAATTAAGGGAACATTCCGATAGAGCTTTGCGTGGAAATTGAGCGCATTCCGTTGACTTTTGTTAAAAAGTTCAATGCTGATCTGAATATGCTTGACGATGTCGTCTTTGGGTCTTCCTAACACTAGACTATCTCTTCTCTGCCAAATGAAGTTGCCGTAAAACTAGAAAATGTCATACATTTCTTGTTTCATTTATCCACCATTGTTTAATTTAGATCCAGGCAACCAACCATTTGCCACACCTCACCTAGCAAGTTGCACCAGAACAGGGGAATTCTCTAGTGGTGATTTCTCTTCTTTTCTTAAATCATGGACGATCGTGAAATTGTTTTGTAGCACAATTGATCTTTTAAAAAACCTTGTCATGATGTATTACTTCAGAATTTATTATTAAAATTGTCATTCAGTTTTTAAAATATTGATTTTAAGGCTTAATTATATTCATAATTTATGTACAAACTTAAAACGCACTGCCATGGAGTTGGTCCACAATGTCTCAACATTTTTCAGTAAACAAGCCTTGGTGCCGTAAATTTATGATGGTGTGCAGAGGAATAATATTATAATCCAACAAGGAAATGTATAATTTGGCAAGAGAACACCCCACCACCATGCACATGCTATCTTTACCAAACTTGCATCTAAACTGATGAAGTAACCCAACCCCTACACTCTTTCTCTTGCTTGAACCCATGCTCAACCTTCTCCATCTAAAGCCATTTCCACCACTTCAAATTCCACGTCTTGATAGAAAAAATGAACATAGTGCTACTAAAAAATTATTATCATTAGTAAACACTAAACAGTTTCAACATACACATATTTAATTATTTTCATCTCTTCTTAATTTTCTATTTCTGTCTCATTATATTACTTGTCATTTCTATCATCCTTTCCTCTATTTCTTTCCTTTTCTAGTGTAAACAGCTTCACGGGCATCTACAAAATATTTTTCGTTGAAAAACGACATGGAGAAGTTTCTACAATTTTAATGTAAAATTTCTATCATATAAATAGTTATTACTGTAAATTAGGTATTAATATACAACTTCATGTAAACTTTGTATGCTATATGATGATATTTTTTCTAATTTAAATATCAATGTACATTCATTTATACTTTTTAACTATATGCATAAGAAAAATAGTGCAATTTAAAAATTAACATATTTAAAAGCTAATTTTCTTTACATAACATTTCCACCCCTGTATTAAAAAATATTTATCTGTACAACTTAAAATGAATAAAAAGATAAATTTAATATTGTATCAAATTATTGAAATGAAAAATAACATATAATTTTTTGAATTAAAATGTAAAATAAAAATGTATTATAAAAAAGAAAATTCAATCTCTATCAAATTGATCATGAATTATCAATATATAAGATTAAAGGGTATTGTTACGGATTATAAAATAAAATTTTAACCTCTATAAAAATTGAAACTTTACTTGGTATGAAGAAAATTAAATTAAAGTATTATCCGAAAAAGAAATAAAAATACAGTACACAAATACAAATTTAATAGTTATCAATCAATAAATTATCATGACAATAAAAAAATATATTAGCATAAGTTAAACGAAAAAAAAGATATTTCATAAAATATTAACATAGGACATGAAATATAAAATATTAAAATATATACAGTGGAGAGGGATCAATAACTTACCTTTTCTCCACCGTAAGTATCAGTTTGTTTATTTATAGAAAATGTTTTTCATAAAGTAGAATATCTTTTTTGTGTCTTTTTAAATTTTAGAAAATATTTTTAATATATTTATATAAAAAATAATATATATATATATATATTTATAAATTTAATTTTAGATATTTAAATTATTTATTGATTTATTTAGTTGTATTTTAATATCTTGATACGCTCAAGTACAATAACAATTTCAGGTTTCTTTCAATTAGGATTGGTTTTACATTTAGCGGAAATTTTTTTTAAAAATCCCACAATAAGATAAACATTTACATGAGAAATTTGACTTTAAATTTAAGTAAACACTCCTAAAATATTATAGTTTTGGGGTATGGTACTTTAAAATTCATATAACTAGATAAAATGAAATTAATAAGTCAGTGTAATTATCGGTTAATTAACAAAACTGATAAAAATATAGGATCATTTTTGTAAGTTTGTTTGGTCTAATTTAAACTGTAATTTAAATGAGTGGGACTCGCAAATTAGCAGGCTAGTTCAAAGGCTATTTATTGTTTTTATTTAATAGTTTTAATATTATTTTGACACACACACTCCTTCACTCATGGGTTATCGCCACCGATTTTTTTCCTACTCTGCTCCCATACTCCCTCCGTCTAAGTCTATCTTGTAAGTAATGGGGACGCACATAAAAAAATATATTATCTACACGAAAATGGGTATAAATAATTTAATATTCGAAACAGTAAATAAAAATTACATTCATATTTTAAAAAAATTTATATTTGTTAAACTTGAATCTAATTTACCCAAAAGTAATTAATACCCCAAAACTGCAGAAATCCTATCCCATTACTGTTCTTATTCCCGTTGTTATAGGCACGAACAGGCAACCTAACTGGGACTGATGAAGAGACAAGATCAAAAGTATCTTATGCAAAAGGATGTCCAAATACATCAAATTGAAGCAAAACGCAGCCACGACCCCTTTACCTTCCTGCTGGCTTCTCAAGATCGCCGCATCCATCTATATCTTCAAGGACTGGACCATTCATTCCCTTCAGCCACATCATTTTTGTTCATTTCAACACTCGTCAATCTGCATGCCACCCGGGGCCATATGTCCATGCATTTTAACCACATTCCCTCTCTTCTTTAACTATAAATACGCTTCATATCACCCCCATTTTCTTGTCATCTTCGCAGTAAACAGTTTAAGTCATAGAATATAGCCACCATGATGAAAGCTCGCTCTCCACTATTCCTGTTGCTTGGAATTGTTTTCCTGGCATCAGTTTCCGTCTCATTCGGCATTGCCCACTTGCAAAATGAGAGTCCCAGTTACCAAAAGTGCCTTCAGATTTGCAAGAGAGAGCAACATGCATACAGGCAACATGCATGCTAACTAGCTGCAAACACTTTAAGGACCCTCAGAGCGAAGAGCCCCAAGAAGAAGCAGAACCTCCATCACATCAAGAGAAGAAACATGCAGAATCACACAGACAAAGCCAGGAGGGTGAGAAGGAGGTAAAGGAACAACAAGAGCAAGATAAACCATCGCCACGCCCACGTCCGCAACCACGCCAACCTCATCCTCACCAGGAAAGCGAGCACAAGCACGAAGAGCACCAGCACCAACAAGAAGAGCAGGATCAACCATCGCCACGCCCACGTCCGCAACCACGCCAACCTCATCCTCCCCATGAAAGCGAGCACAAACACCAAGAAGAAGGGCAAGATCAACCACAACCACGCCAACCGCATCCTCACCAGGAAAGCGAGCACAAGCACGAAGAGCACCAGCACCAACAAGAAGAGCAGGATCAACCATTTCCACGCCCACAGGAGCATGAGCACAAAGAACAGAGCAAACATCATAACAAGGAGCAGGAGAGCGAAAAAGAGCAAGGTCCAGAATCAGAGCCACAAAAACCAAAGAACCCTTTTCACTTTAATGACAACAAGTTCCACACACTAGTCAACAACAAATACGGTTACATTCGTGTTCTCCAGAGGTTCGAACAGCGCTCCAACAAACTCCAGAACCTCCGAGAATACAGAATTGTTCAGTATAAGTTCAAACCCAACGTCTTGCTTCTCCCCTACCACGCTGATGCTGATTTCCTCCTTGTTGTCCTCGACGGTAATTAAATAACAATCATTTAAATCATCACTTGTTTGTATTAATCAATTAACAGTTAACCAATGACGACTAACCTTAATCAATATGTTAATTATATTGGGATTAATTGCAGGGAGTGCCTTAATTACCTTGTTGAGCCCTGACGAAAGAGAGTCTTACAAACTTCAGCGTGGGGATGCACTCAGAATCCCAGCAGGTACCCCATTCTATCTGCTTAACCCAGACGACAACCAGAATCTCAAAGTAGTAAAACTCGCTGTACCCGCTAACCAACCCGGCAAAGTCCAGGTACACTGCTTAATAAAAATTAACATTAGATTAACTAATTCAAGGCACTGCTTACTTACATTCCCTTCTCTATTCTATAGGATTTCTTCCCGTTTAGCAGTGAAGATCAAGAATCCTTCTTGCGCGGGTTCAGCGAGAATACTCTTGAGGCCTCCTTTGATGTAAGCAAGCAACGCATCAATATCTAATTTGTCTAAATTTAATTCACGTGTAATTAATTTTGTTACACTAAAAAATGACCATCATGCTCTAATGGTTACATTGCAAATATAGGCACCATTCGAGGAGATAGAGAAGACTCTATTGGAAGAGGAGGAGCAAGAGGTGGGAGTGTTAGTGGAAGTGTCAAAGGAACAGATCCAGGAGCTGAGCAAAGACGCCAAATCCAGCTCAAGAAAATCCATTTCCTCTGAAAATGAACCTTTCAACTTGAGAAGCCGAGGCCCAATCTATTCCAACAAGTTTGGCAAGTTCTTTGAGATCCCCCCACACAAAAACCCACAGCTTCAGGAATTGGATATCTCCCTCGACTGTGTAGAGATTAAGGAGGTATGTATGCAAAACACCCACAAAC